CAGGGGGGGGCCGAGCCGCGGCACGGCCTTGCTCCTCTCCGCCGGCGGGTTGTAAGAACAGGTGCCGTTGAGGACCTTCCTCAGGGGCATCCTGGGCACCGCCAGCTCCCCCAAAAGTTCCCGCTGCCCCCTCCGGAAGTCGCTCTGCCTCTTCAACCTCTTGAAGTCCCGGAAGGCGGCCAGGGAGTTCTGGCAGAGGGTCTGCGCCATGGCTCTGGCTTTGTCGGCCCGGGACACCAGCACGGCGTGGCACCTCAGCACCACCGCCTTGTTCTTGACCTGGTGCCGGTAGACCCAGGAGAAGACCTTGGGGTGGCCGGCGTCGGCGGCGCAGCAGGCGACGCGGCGCAGGAGGTAGGTGTGGACGGTCCTCCTGGCGCCTTTCTTGCAGGGGGTCATCCTGATGCCGTAGGGGCCCAGGGTGAGCTCCATCTTGGTGCTGTAGCCGCCGTACTCGCTCTTCTCCCAGATCTTGCTCACCGCCTCCGCCGTGCAGCCCTCTCCCTTGGCGTGGAGGGTGACCGCGTTGCCCAGGTACCACGCCGTGTACGAGGGGTCCTCGGCGTTCAGCTCCACCTTCTGCCTGCGGGTGCTGAAGACCTTGCCCAGGCGTGCCAGGGGGGCGGTCTGGGGCAGCAGGTCGGGGCAGGAGCGCATGAAGGAGGAGAGCAGGGAGGAGTAGCTGACCCCCTTGGTCGTCTTCTTGTCTTTCTTCGCCAGCACAAACTTGCTCCTCTTCCAGGGAAGCATGTCAGCGGCGGCTCCGAGCAGAGCGGCTCATCCAGGAGAAGGGAGGCTGGAGAATCTGAGTCCCTGGGTGGGAGGATGAGGAGGGGAGGCAGACAGCTGCTAGCCCACTTTCCTCCGCCACACCTCTGCCTCCTCAACTTCATCCTCGGGGCTCTGCGCATAGGAAGCCACAAGTCTGCAGCGGAGGCGGGGCTCCGGGGGGGGTCCATTGGGGAGAGGGCGGCAACTGCTCAAGGTGATCCACTACAAGTGCCAGCATGCTCCAGAAAACAGCCAGGGCGGAGCTATAAGCACCTCCGTGTGTCATTCAGGAATACACCCCTGGGCCCCTCCCCCACCACCAGAAGGCATGCACAGTCACTCGGCAGCACGGGCTTACACTTTAATTCCTAAATGACTGGCCTTAAAGTAGACCGACGTCCCGGCTGCTCGGTGTGTGTCGCCCCCGGCAACGGTCATTTTGCCAAAATAAAATATTTGATTTAACTTTTTTTTTTTTTAATCCTTTGTTCCTTCTCAGTGTCGCTGATCTCCTGCAGCCTCTTTGCAGCCACTTCCTGTCTACATGCACTCTATGGATGGCTGCGTGGCATTGCTCAGTGCCGCTGATCTCCTGCAGCCCCTTCCTGACCACATGCACTCTGGAACTACAAATCCCAGCATGCCCTGATATAAAGACACAACGCAGCAACTAGAACTACAACTCCCATCATGCACCAAATGTATCCAACCTGCACAGAACTGGAGGTCTGTATTATATAGCAGAGGAATAAGTCATAGCGCCCCCCGCAGGAGAGCCGGGTGTCATTCTCAGTATCTGTTCTTATTCTGTATGTATGGACTCTGCACAGTACCACTTCCCTTGTCCTGTATGCCGGGTGTAATTCTCGGTATCTGTTCTTATTCTGTGTGTATGGACTCTGCACAGTACCACTTCTCTTGTCCTGTATGCCGGGTGTAATTCTCGGTATCTGTTCTTATTCTGTATGTATGGACTCTGCACAGTACCACTTCCCTTGTCCTGTATGCCGGGTGTCATTCTCGGTATCTGTTCTGTATGTATGGACTCTGCACAGTACCACTTCCCTTGTCCTGTATGCCGGGTGTAATTCTCGGTATCTGTTCTTATTCTGTATGTATGGACTCTGCACAGTACCACTTCCCTTGTCCTGTATGCCGGGTGTCATTCTCGGTATCTGTTCTTATTGTATGGACTCTGCACAGTACCACTTCCCTTGTCCTGTATGCCGGGTGTAATTCTCGGTATCTGTTCTTATTCTGTATGTATGGACTCTGCACAGTACCACTTCCCTTGTCCTGTATGCCGGGTGTAATTCTCGGTATCTGTTCTTATTCTGTGTGTATGGACTCTGCACAGTACCACTTCTCTTGTCCCGTACGCCGGGTATCATTCTCGGTATCTGTTCTTATTCTGTATGTATGGACTCTGCTCAGTACCACTTCCCTTGTCCTGTATGCCGGGTGTCATTCTCAGTATCTGTTCTTATTCTGTGTGTATGGACTCTGCACAGTACCACTTCTCTTGTCCTGTATGCCAGGTGCCATTCTCGGTATCTGTTCCTATTCTCGGTATCGTCTCATTCCGGGGGACGATAACATTCGGCTGGTTACGGGAAGTCATTCTCTTCTGATCCAACATGGTAACAAATCACGGGGGGGGGAGGGGAGATTATTGATCACAGATCATCAATCACTGTGATTGGCTCTTGCTCTCTCCGGCTGTCACTCAGCGACATGTGACACACACGGATCGAATGTTGTCCATTTCCTGCTGGGTCAGCTGACATTCGATTGGTCGGTGGCTCGATAAAAGCCGATAATTTCATAGACCTTTGTGGGAGGATCCGGAATGGACGATGTCAGCTGACCAGTGACTGCAGCCAATCAGAGTCAGTCTGGACCTTGGTGGTGGGGGAGGGGGAGACGCCTGTACACAGCGGCAGGTCCAGGTGGACGCACTTTGATGCAGGCAGTCTGCGTCCGGGTCTCTGCGCAGGTGTGCACGCCGCAACGCATGAGCACGAGACCTTGGGGTACTGTGACAGTTATAGAGGGAGGAGCAGAGAAGCGTTGCCCCTCCCACTGCGCAGTGTCGGCAGAACTCGGTCATGTGACGCTACAATGTATCCAGTGACGGTCGGTGACACTTTGTTGCTCTCCTGACCCTGAGATATTTCCGGCACTCCCAGCGGACGGATCACAACCACCATCATCTCCTCCTCATGCATCCGACAGTTCAAAGTGCTCCCCCCCCC